GTTCCTCAGAACTTTCTCCCCCAAAGGCCTCAGTCACCCTTCCTACCCCGCCTTGAGGCAACCGATTGCTTAGGGCTGGGCCCTCTACCTTTGCAGGGGAAAGGAAGACGTGTTTCAGAATATGATGGGTGACTCCTGGTTCTGGGCATGGTGCAACACGATCAAGACCAAGCACATGGCAAAGCCTCCTTAGAATGAGGAAGTCATCCACGGAGCCAAATCTCCGGCTGCCAGCTGGTTTTGCAAATAAAGGGGGAGTAGGCCCATGCAAGAAACGGGGGCTGAGGGCTGCACAGGGAGGGACACAGAGATGCCGCACCTCTTTCTTTCTTCTGCTGGGCTGGGGTCAGGGACCGGGAGCTAGCCGAAGAAACCGGGCTGGCCAGATCTGCGTACATGTCTTCCGAGTCAGCACTGCGGACGGAGCTGCTGCTGGAGGAGGCACTGGAGGCGGATGAGACGCTGCTCACGCTCAGAGACCTGACCGGCAGCGAGAAGGAGGAGAGGGCAACGACCGTTAGATCCAGGAGGAACGGCTGAACCGGCAGCGCAGCAGAGCTCGCTTCCTCCTTTCAGCGCAAGGATGGGTCTCTGCTCACCCCGTTAGTCTGTCACAAGCCCCAAGCACGCTGCGGGGAAGGGAAGGCCTGACCCTGACCCTGACCCTGGCCAGGCAGAGAAACTGAGCTGGAAACTTCCTGTGCTTCCATCACACCAGCCAAGCTGATGCTGGGACAAAGGAGGAAGACCCCTGCAGGCAAACAGTAGGGCTTGCTTTCCTTGGAACCCCCAAGACGACTCGTTAAAAGCCTTCCCTCAACAGCTATAGTAATTTAAAGAGTGCACTGAAGAGCAGAAGATGTCAAGATGGACACTCAGATACATTTAATGAGAAATGTATTTAAAATATCTAACTATCTCGATCTATCGATCCATCTATCATCCATCCATCCATCCATCCATCCATCCATCCATCCATCCATCCATCCATCCATCCTCCCTCTATCTATCATATCTATCTATCAAGGGCAGGTTTGCTGGATGCTCAAAACCAAGAGGTGAAAACTTTTCAGAGGCTGACTTCACACAACATGCTAAATCACAAATGAACCAGCCCCGTTTTAATCCATTCTAGCCTGCTGTGAGAACCCAGGTGGAGAAAAAGGCACCTGAGTGCGAAACACTTCCTCTCCTTCAAGTTATTCGAAGGGTCACCAAGGTGGCCTCCAAACGCCCAAGCTGCTTCCAGCCAACAGGCTGGTGTTTCAAAGAGCAAAAGCCACTGGCTGGAGCTTCCTGACTTGCAGAGGGGAAAAAAGTCTCTTACCTGGACTTTCTGGACCCAGATGGGGACGGGGAAAGAGAGGCCGAGGAGGACCGGGAATGAGACCGGGAGAGGGACCGAGACAAGGATCTTGAACGGGAGCTGGAACCGCTGTAGCTGCTGCCGCTGCCACTCACGCTGCAACTAATGGCCCGCCTGCAGCCAAAAGAACCCCAGTTAGGCTCCCTTTGGTGGCCAGAAGGAGACCCTTTTCCAGTCCTTTCAGGAAGGGCTAATGGACAGCATTCAGGGATGTTTGGGTAACTGATCAGCCCAGGAATCTGAAACACTGAGAAGCTTTTTCAATGCAAATTTAAGTTTTCTTCCCATTCTTAAAAACCATCTTTCACTAATCCCACCACTTAATAGGAAGGAGGCATTTGGAGCATCAAAGAGCAAATGAGAAAAGGCCTGAAGAACTCCTACAGAAGGCAGTGGGGAAAACCAGCCTCCAGGTCTGCTGGAGGGTCTTCAATGGGATTATTTATTTAAAACACATTTACTTCCCATCACCCAATTCTCAAAGCCACAAAGCTTGTCCTCATTTGTCTTTGGTGGGAGGGAAATTCCCAGAGGCGGAGGGCAGAATACAACAATGAGGTTTGGCTAACCCTGTAGGTCCAACTGTGCCAGGATCAAGTCAATGTTGCTTCTGAGACCTCCTCTATGACCTTGAGGTCCAAGTCTCATGCGTTTCCAGAAAAGTCTGGCAAAACACAGAGGGTGGCAGGTCTTGCCGTGAAGCAACCGCTTGAGCTTTGTCCTTCCAGCAAAGCCCATGAGGGACCCCTCCCTGTGCCTTCAGAGCTTGCCTGCTGGGACTCCACCCCAGGACGCTCCCTCCTACCTCCTGGGAGGCGTCCTCGTTTGCCGCTCCTTCCGTCTGGCCTCCCTGTTGTCCCCTGGCTTGGCTGGCTCTGGGGCAGAGGGGGCAACTTTTGCCACTGGTGGAGGTGCTGGTGGGGCAGGGAGTTTCTTCACAAGCTTTTCGCTGTAGAAGGACAACAGATAAGAGAAAGCCAGTGAGAAAAGCCAAGATTTTGTGATCCAGGTTAAAATAAGATGTGTTGTTATCTCTGGTAACCCTTAATGGACTTTTGCTGATATCAGGACTGAAATAATGAGGCTTTAAAGATTTGTTTATAGATAAGAGATGGGATATGGGAAGAAGACATCATTTGTTGTATTTAAAGAGAAGGTGATAAGTTACTAAAATTGTTTGTACTTGTAATGAAGGAGGAAGTATTTCTTTATATATTTCTTTTCTTCTTCTTTGCTATATTCTAATTTTTTCTTTTCTATTTTTTCTTCTCTGCACCTTCTATTTTTTCCTTTTATTATTTTAATTTTTAAAATTTGTATTAGTTTTATTGTTGCAATTGTAATTTTTAATAATAT